AAGAATTTTACTTTCCAAAGAGAAGAGTGAACTAGGGCTAGGGAGGGTGGGCAGGGAGAAAAGTGCAACAATGAATGAATGGAAATCCAAAGTCTCTGTAAATTTTCATTAAAATTAATAATAATAGTAGAAAATCAAACTTTAAAAAAATAAAGAGATGGAATTTCTTGCACTTGAATTTTAAAACAGGATTGACATCAGGGTTGAGGGAAGACTGAGAAAGAGGGGCTAAATAATGTATACTGCATTGAGAAAGATGAGGGAGAGAACTGTTTAAAAGGGATATGTGATTAGGTATTATTGTCATGACATGAGTCCAGAACAAAGGCAGCACAGTGGAGTGGACCTGGGGGGAGGGATTGTATAACAATGAAAGAATTTTTCTTTCACTTTTCAAAGAGAAGAAAGAACTGGGTGGGAGGGGTGGCCAGGGAGAAAAGTGTAACAATGAATGAATGGAAACCCTAAGTCTCTGTAAACTTTCATTAAAATAAAAAAATTTAAAAAAGAAAGAAACAGATTCTAACCTATGTCTCACCTACAAGGTATTTGTTGAGGTTTTGGTTAGGAGAGTTGAATACCGACTTTAGTATTACACTGAGTCAGTGCTCTTACTGAGAAGGAAGATCTGCTGTGTTGTTGTGTTGTGCACAACTGAGTCAGAACCAGCCCACCGCGGACCTTCCAGCATATTTTCAGAGGCAGTTAATCATACAGGAGACGATTGCCCCTCCTTGTCCCTTGGAACAGCTAGTGGACTAGAATGCGTGCCTTCGGGATTGCAGCGCAGCAATCCCGGGACAGTGAACATAGTGCTACATTCCAAAGTCACAAAGGTGAGCTGGGGGTTATCTGTATCACCGTCCCCCTAGCTGGTGTGGGAAAGCAGTTCAGACCACTTAAAGGAAGGGTCCGTTTTAGCATTTGCATCTGCCAGCTATGGGCTAAGCTCTGACTCATTCTCTCACTCCACTAGCTGCCAATAGCTGCATTTCCAGGGGAACAAAACCAAAAAAGTGCCTTTATATGTAGAGAACTGTGAGACATAGACTCACAGCACTGAGTTACTACACAGAACATTTTTTGACCCAGCTACTTGCAGGAAAAGGGGTTTTTTGGACTGTGGTTTCCTGGAAATTCAGAAACCACGGTCAATTCAGTCTATTCTCTGGCTGTCAAAGAACAATGTGGGTGGATCAGACCTTCTGGGAGCACAGAAGGGAATCAAAATGATGTTTCCTAGCGCCACTTTCTCATTTAACTTTAAAGATGGTCAGGGAACTAAGAGAAGCAATGAAGGAAGGCTACCCCGGTACTGTTCTGCCCCTCTGCTCCCATCCTCTGTTTCTCTCCAGTCCACCAGGCCTCAGCTGGCTTTTGTTGTGTTACTGCCTCCATAAGGAAAGCATGTGTCTACATTTCCATGACTAGATTTCATAGACTAGGTCACTTCAGTATAGAGAAATGCATAGCTCTCATCTCTGAGCTACAGCTGCCAGCCGGCTCTGTATACCCTTCAACTCATTTCAGACTCTTGGACTTTGCAAGTGCAGAGACTGGAGCATCACATGTGGATTCTGCTTTTTTCTGGCCTTGGATTCAACCATCCTTGCTTTGTATCAGAAGAGAAGCACAAGTAAAGGCCATATGCTCGATACAACAAAGGTCCTAATAAGCTAGTTGTTGAATTATGGCAGATCAGTTTAAAATGTTGTTAATCTGGAGAAGATTTTGAGGATTTGACGGTAAATTTGAGGAGAGAGAGATGAGAAACATTATGTTACTAAGAAGGGCTATTACTAAGAAGGGCTATTCTAACATAGACAGTCCATAGAGACTTGCATGACTAAGTCCATGTCTCTGGTAGTTTGAATCCATCAGTGACTGTGGGAGAAAGATGAACAGTCTCTTCCCATATGATTCACAGCCTTGGAAAATCTACTGAAGAGTAAGCCATGAGTGTGGTTGAGCTTATTAAGTTTATCACTATTTGCAAGTTAAATGATTTGAACAATCTTGTCCTATAAATTATCAAATAGTAAAAGCTGGCTCTATAGTCTGTACTCGAAGCTATAAACAAGCTGCTGCTTTATGCACTGAAGAGTAACAGGCATTTCCGTTCTTAACGCTTTTAATAAAGTAGCTAAAGATTTGTCATCAGATAAAAATTTGTTACCAGTGAAGAAAGCTTAAGTCCTTACCTCTTGGTTTGGGACATTTTGCTGGAGTTTTGCCTGTTGATCTGTTTGGTTTTTCAGAGGAATTTTTGGGGATCGAATGCTTCATTTCTGCTTTTGTTGCTCAGGTTTCTGTTGGATTAAAAAATAATAATAGTAGATCAACTGCCTAAACTTTAAAACAAATAGTTGAAAAAATGTGGTTAACTCAACATAGTGTCAGTAACACATCTAGATGAAAAAAAAAAAACAACAAACTAATTTCAGTAAGCATGATAAATACTCAGAATTGGCACAAAAAGGAGAGAAACACAGCCCAGAATGTTCAGCTTGGTTCAGTGGGCTTATTGTTTTTGGTAATGTAGACTTTGTAGTTTTGAGACTGCTGCTG